ATGTTGGATTGTGTACCTGGATTATTGAGCATGGACTTTGTTGTTTACAATTTATACTTTTATTGGATGTAACTGTGACCCTGTGCACACAGTTTTGTTCCATCATATGTACCACATGAGATGCGAATAACAAAGAAACTTTGACTTTGAATATGTTGATTTAAAGAGAACGACACAAAATGAGTGTTTTTACATAACTACAGCTCAGCTAGGGGCTAGCTGACATTATCTGCTGTTAGCTAGTGATGTCAGTCTGACGCCGAAGCTTCGATCCTTGCTTCGAACTTGAAGTTGCGTTCTCCTTGAACCACTGCTACGAAGCGTGCATTGCGGCAGAGCAAGTTACGTCCGCGATGACGTACGAAGCAGCGACTGCTTCGGTCCCCGAATGAATCGTTTACGCGAGACTTGCTTCAGCAGGCTTACGCGCACCAACACACACCTTAAAGCACCCGACACACACCACCACATGTCGGTTTGTTGTCGGTCGTTTTGTGAGTTGTTGCTGTTCATCACTGCTTTTGGTTGATCAACATGGAGCCAACCAGGAGGAGAAGCCGTTTTCAAATGTGGGAACAGTTCGAGCTGATCAGTCTCAATAAGGTGAGTAGTTTATTACTAAACAAGTAACTTGAACAGTAGTAAGCTGGGGGGGGGCATCCAGGACATTTGTATGTGTGGTGATTTAAGTGATGCCTATGACCTGACAGTTGGTTTTCTTGTTTGATCTTTACTGTTCATACAGGTCCAGTGCTGGTATTGTTGCATGCAACTGGTGCATAATAACAACACGTCCTCGATGCTGAGGCACTACATGGCATGTTCATCCATCCATCCATCATCTTCACCCGCTTATTCCATTTTGGGTCACGGGGGTCGCTGGTGCCCATGTCCAGCAATCACTGTGTGAGGGGCGGGGGACACCCTGGACAGGTCTCCAGTCCATCACAGGGACACATAGAGACAAACGAGACAAACAACCATTCACTCTCTCACTCACACCTAGGGACAATTTAGAGTTACCAATCAGTCTAACATGCATGTTTTTGGTCTGTGGGAGGAAACTGGAGCACCCAGAGAAAACCCACGCATGCACGGAGAGAACATGCAAACTCCACCCAGAAAGGCCCCTGGACCGGGGTTTGAACCAGGGACCTGCTCGCTGAGAGGCAGCAGCTCTACCAGTTGCGCCACCGTGCTGCTTGTCCAAACGATGTTCTCCCAAAACATTAGGGGTTTCTTAATATTATTTTTTGACTAAATTCATTTATTTTTTATGGTTTGGTGTCCACACACACACACACACACACACAGAGAGAAACGTGTCTGTGTTCATGACTGTCAAATCTTTATTTTTCTTTCAGCTCAACCTCTGGACAAGTTTTGAGCGAGATGCTACACTGGCACGAGCTCACAGGAATCACACACCGGATGCTACAACCGAAGTTCAGAGATCCTTGTCTGATCCTCCCTTGCAAAGATCCCAGGATCCTCTGGTCTACTGGAATGATCACAGAAATGTTGATCCACATTTCTTATTGTTGGTTAAACAATACTTATGCATACCAGCCTCATTTGTTCCTTGTAAATGTGTTTTTTCAAAAGTTGGAGAAGTTGTCAGCAAAAAAAGAAACCACCTGAGTCCATAAACAAAAACTTTTATTCCTAAATTAAAACCTCTGAATTGCTCAAATGTCATGACTGTGTGAGTTACACAAACCCGACCACCGTCCCTGCACCTACTGTTTCCTAAAGCACACCCTCTCCACCCCAGATACTGGACCTAGTCAACAGATCCACTGGATCAGCTGAACATACATGAAGTGTTTGGTGTCTACTATTTCACCACTAGATGTCAACGAATGAACCTTTAGGACGTGTGCTCGAGAATTCTGCGTTCATAACTTTATATTTTTTGAATTATTAAACTAAACTTTACTTACTTTCCCCCTCATAGATTAGAGTTTAGATTAACTAAAATACTTTTTTTTAAATTTGGAGCTTTTTGAAAATCAACTTCAGCGTAAACGCTTGATTTGAAGTTTCAAAGTTCCTGCTCAATAATCCAGGTATAAATCCAGCAAAGTTCAGTCAGGTCATCTGGACGGTTTATTTTTGTTGAGACGTTTCGTCCTTCATCCAAAGGACTTCATCAGTCTAAGGAGCCTCAAACAAACTCAGTCCAACAAGCAGCCCACTCCCATACTGGGGGAAAAACAGTTTGATGGTGATAAGGTGGTTTCTGGGGCCCGCCCTCGTCGACTCCTCTGAAACAGACAAAGTGGTTCAAAACATCAACATTCATGCTCAGAAACGAATGAAGCTTTATTTGAAGCTTTCATCTTACGTGCATGCTTTGCTAGTTTTAGCTGTTTCTCTGTTCTTAGTGTTAGTGAACCATGTTTTAGCTGCTGTTTAAAAAAATCATTCGACCTTCATTTATACACATTAGTTCCCATAGAGCCTGGAGGACTCACTTTCATGAGAGACCTGTTTTCTGGGGGTTAAGGACCTTGCTCAGGGGCCCAGGGTGGGGCAAGTGAGGGTGGAGGCACCTTTTCCACCCACATTTTGATGTTGATGGTAACGGGAGTTGAACCTGCAACTTTCCAATCACAGGCCCATCTTCTAACCTCTGCGCCACCACTCCCCCAAACATTCAAGGATTCAGAGATTCTTCGCTGTCATTCACACCTCATGTGGTCCCTGAGGTGGAACGGTTATGTTCCCGGGGTCCCAGTTACATCCGACAATAAAATGTAACATAAAAACAGTGATAACATCAAAGATACGAACTAAGAAAAACATCAACTAAATATACACTAAACACTAATAACATAAAAACAATATGCTGAACAGCAGCACGAACATGTGTGTGTGAGCAGATGAGCACACATGAACACATCAACACAAAATAGATCAGCAGCACCATGAAACTGATCAGCAGCAACATGAAACTGATCAGCAGCAACATGAAACTGATCAGCAGCAACATGATGTGGTTTTTCACAGTGATTATTCTAGTTAGAGATTCATGAGTCTAACAGCCTCAGGGTAGAAGCTGTTCCTCAGTCTAGTGGTTCTACACTTAATGCTCCTCAACCTCCTTCCTGAGGGGAGTGGGGCAAAAAGTGTGTGTGCTGGGTGAGTGTGGTCCTTCATGATGCAGGTGGCCCTCTTCCTGCATCTGGAGGTGTAGATGTCTGTGATGGTGGGGAGACTGACTCCAACATCTTCTGTGCAGCCTTCATGCCATTACAGCCAGTTATGAATCTTAGTGCACCATGATAGACAGCATCCAACATCTGCAGCATCCAACATCTGCAGCATCCAACATCTGCAGGGTTCTTGTAGGAGCGTTCATGTAAATAATGTCACCGTGATCAATGGAGGGAAGGAAAGTCACAGATACAAGGTGTTTCCTAACATTCAGGGTTAGACAGGATCTGTTTCTGAAAAAGAAACCCAGTTTAACTTTCAGTTTCTTTACCAAGTTTTCCACATGGAGCTTAAAAGAGAGATGTGAGTCGACCAAGATACCCAAATATTTATAGGAATCAACAAACTCAGTGGGGACACCATTTGAGGATAAAATCAGAGGAAGAACTGCTGGGACCAACTTCCTGTTTGAAAACAACATCCTTTGGTTTTGTCAGCATTTAGCACCAGTTTGAGGTGGAACAAATCAGTCTGGATGATGTTGAATGCAGATTTCAAAAGCTGGAAAGCCTTAGCAACAGTTTTAGCTCGACAATAAACAACTGTGTCATCAGCATAGAAATGTATGGATGCATTAGGGATGTTTTTACCTACATTATGTATGTAGATTGTAAAGAGGGTGGGTCCAAAGACTGAGCCTTGTGGTACACCATTGTTGACTGTTAAATAACTGGAGGAAGTACCATTATGTTGAACACATTGCCTCCGGTCTGAAAGATAGTTAGAGAACCAACCAATGGTGTGTTCTGAGAAACCAGTTTCTGAGAGTTTATGACACAAGATGTTCTGATCCACAGAGTCAGAATCTTTAGACAGGTCTAAGAAAAGTGCAGCACAATAATCCTTAGCATCCAGTGCTTCAACAACGTCATTAAGAACCTTCAGTGAAGCAGTGGTTGTGCTGTGTTGTTTCCTGAAACCAGATTGATGTGGAGGTAAGATGTTAAATGAGTCCAGGTCATTTTTGATTTGAGAGTTTATCAGTTTTTCTAGAACCTTGGCTGAAATGCAGAGTTTAGAGATTTCATTATATTTAATATCAAAATCCAATCCATACTGAGAGCAAACCCTTAACAGTTGCTGCAGACCAGCACTATATGGGCAAAAGATTACAAGATCATCAGCATACATCAGGTGGTTGATGGTTCTATTGCCAACCTGACAGCCAGTCCTACATTGATTCAACAAATTAGATAAATCATCCATATACTGTCTAAATAAAGGTTGAATGAAAAAGTCATTTGTGCCAGCCCTCCACAATATTTGCTGTTTCTCATGTGGCCCCATGGAAAAAATAATTGCCCACCCCTGGTCTACATAAAGGTTGAATAAATGAATGAATATACACGTTAAAAATGCAAGGAGACCAAATGCTGCCTTGTTGCACACCAATACCCACAGAAAAAGATGATACAGATTTTCTCCATTTTACAGACATTAAAGTTTTATTTGTTGCAATTTTGTTAAAATTCTGTTTTTAATGGTCATTTGAGGTTAAAATATAATCATTTTTACGTCCTGTATGTTCTTTTAGGTCTGTTTTTTTTTTAGTTGTTTTTAAGTTGTATGTCTCTTTGCAATTTATCTTTGTTATATTGTTATTTTGTCATGTTACAATGTTTCCACTGTCTTTAATTGCTTTAAGAGCATATTTTGAATTTATTTAGTACTTTCTTCAGTTATTCGGATTTACCTGGGGCGGAACGTTTGCCGCGTGTTTCCAGCCGGACAGTTTTTGCGGCCCACCGGTGCGCCTTCCTCTCCCCTCCGTCCTCGCGTGTTTTCGGGTGAATCTTCAGTTTTCTCAACATGTCTGCTTTCCCGCGGTTGCTCCGTGGGTCGCGTGCTGCCTTCGGGCGGCTGTCCGCAGAAACCTGCGTCATTTCGGGTTTCAGAGCGAACTTTTCACGGCTCGGTTCGGCCCACCTGGACCGCAGGAGTTACACGAACCCTGCCGAACCTCGGACGGTTCGGATCGGCTGCGCTTCCGGCTTCTGGGGGGACACCGCGACGTCAGGTGAGAAAATATTCAACATGGCGTCAACACAAACTGCCAGACCTCAGACATTGTTTGTTTGTTTGTTTGTTTGTTTGTTTGTTTGTTTGTTTGTTCAGTTCCTCAGCTGATCTTTGGAGGGAACCTGGACTTCCTGGTCTTTGATTACCTCAGTGAGATCACCATGTCCCTGCTGACCGCCGCCCGCACCAAGACCCCCGTCAGTTCTGATCTGGACCTTTTTGTTGTTGTTTACCTCTGAACCCGTTTGTTTGTGTTTGTGAGCGGTTTTGAATAGAATGCGTGTTTATAAAGTGAAGCCCAGCTGGAGAGGCTGCAGCTCCACCTATCGGCCTGCAGGTGGTGCTGCAGCTCCACCTGTAAAATTTAGATTAAGAGGGTTCATTAACGGTCAGGGTGCAGGACAGTCAGGGTGCAGGGCGGTCAGGGTGCAGGAC